CCTCTCTCTTTAATTCAATACAAAGAATATGATTTAAAAATGTTTTCAAAGATACACTCGGTATGGGACCGAGGTTTTAGGAGGAAAAGCGTTGGAAAGAAATGGTCTCAGATCCAACGTCATTTATCATTAGTTTGACTTAATAACGGTTTACGGAGGTCTCGTCATCGACCAAAAAAATACGAAAAATGAAATAAAAGTCGAAAGGTGACATAAAGTTGAAAATGAGAAAGAGGAGAAAAAGTCGGTCTCGGATCCTTCATTTCTCATCAATAATTTGATAGAGAATCGAAGGAAATTTCTTCATCGACCAAAAAGTGGAACAAAATGTCCAATAAAAAATGAGAAATGAGATCCAACTCAAAAAGAAAAATAAACTTTAAAACTACAATATTTTACAAAGCTCTAACAAAAACAGAAATGAAATTCCAAATTTATATAAGAAAACTTTTAAAAGAAATATCATAAAACTCTAAAACTTAAAGAAAGTATAAATAGAAAATTTTTATATAAAGTATTCTAAAATATGTTTAAAGATTATATAAGAAAAACGGTATTTACAAATAGATATTAATATATTTACATAATATAATAGTAATATTTACATATATAAATCTAATGCAAAATAAAAAATGTTTAGGAAGATATTTACAAAATAACTAAATTATAATATGAACATAAAAATAGGAAGGGGTGATAACAGAAAATGGGGGGTGTACAGTCCAACCCGGCTTTGTGGCCCAACAACAACAATAAATCAATAAATAAAATAAAATAAAATAAACAAATAAACTTTAAAAAAGAAATAAACAATAAATAAAACTCCTCCAACGCTCTCTCTGTTCGCAGCTTTTTTGCTTTTCTCTCTCGCTCTCAATCATCGTTCACGCTTTCTCCCTTTCTGCTTCACTCAACCTTAATCAAAATCTTTTCGTTTCTGTTTCCAGAATCTTCCTCTCTGTTCATTCTTTGAGTGGTGGTTTGTGTTTGGGAGTTATGTTGGAGGAGATCTGGGTTGCGGATTTGCGAGATTTGCTTCCGGTGGAGGTCGAAGTGTGTGGTTGGTTGTTGATTTTCTAGAGAAAGAGTTTGATTGAAGTTGAAGATGGAGGTTTACGGATGTGCTCCGGCGAGAGAGTTTTGGTTCTCATGGTTTGAAGTTCTGGGTTTAAAAGTTCATAGAGGTGATGAAGGATTCTGGGTAGGTTGAAGGTTGAGTTCGTACGACGATTTTGTGTTGAAAAGGGTTGATCTGGGTATGGAAAGTTTGGATGGGTTACGTTTCTGTGGTTTTCGGTTTGTATTGATGTTGATTAGTTTCGTATTTGGGGTTTTGTTCGGTGGTTAAGGTTTCTGAAGTTGATATGAGTTGATGAAGTTTGAACGGCGGTCGGTTCGCGGAAGTGGGTTGGAGATTGAAGATGGCAGTTTGTGAAGGAGGTGTAAGGGTTAGAGGCTGCAGTTTGTTTTTTTAGGGTTGTCTCCCTTTGGGATTAGGGTTTCTTGGCTGCTAGGGTTGTCTTCTGAGGTTGGGAGATGGTGAATAGTGGCACACCCTATATAGGGCTGCCACGTGGCATGTTGTAGGGTTAATGACTTTGGATTAAAACTGATGACAATTAAAGAATAAAGACTAATTATAATTACAAATCCTAACTAATAATATCTAATAATTAACAAATAATCTAATCCCTAAATAAATTTGAATAAATAAAATAAAATAAACCTATTAATTCTAATCTAAAGCAATTAATCTAATAAATCATAATTAACAAAATCTATTTTTAAATAAACTCTAAACTAAAACTTGATTTATATTAACTAAAAAGTTTTCTAATAAACAAAAATAAATAAATAAATAAAAAGTAATTAGAGTAAAAAGAAAATAATTTTTAAAATTAAATAAATAAAAAAAAACTATATTTAAACATAAAAACTATATTCAAAAAGTAAGCAATTATCTAAAATCAACTCTATTTCTATGTAAAAAAATAATAAAATCCTATTCTAAAATTAAAAGTTAATTAAACTATTTTTAAGTCTAAATAATGAAAATAAAAACCTAATTAATATTTACTTATATAAACCTAAATAATTCTAACTACTATCAAAACAAAATCCTAAAAAACCTAAACTAAGTAAACAAATAAAATAGAATCTAAATTATTAAAATTTAACTAAATAAAATATGACTATTAACAATAAAACAAATTAATTTTAATTTAATAATCCTAATAAATACCATAAATCATAATTTAATAATACTAATAAATAAAATAAAAAAAAGAAAATAAAAATCTAAATAATAAATAACAATCAACCCTAATCAAATTAAATAATTCAATAAAATAATAAATAAATAAATAAGCTAAAAACTCTAAATAATTCTAACTAATTCTTAAAAAACTTAATAAAATTCACACAAAACAAAATTCTATGTAAAAACAAAATAAAACTCTATTTAACTTCTAATAATAAAAATACACTAAAATTATATTTAACCTAAAAGCTATTTCTAAATTATATAATTAAATCTATTTAAAATAAAAACTATTTCTAATAAAATTAAAAACGGTTAAAATCATAGAATAAAAAAAAAATGAAATCTAAAAACTATTTAAATCCTAAAATAACTCTAACATTACTAACTTAATTCTAAAATCCTAAAAAATCTCTAACATTACTAACTTAATTCTAAAATCCTAAAATATCTCTAAAATTAAATCAAATCTAATTAATTATAATACTAAAATGATTCTAAAAACAAATTAATTATATGCTATATAAAAAAAAAGTATTTCTATTCTAAATAAGAAAAAACTATTTCTAATAAAAAATAATATTAAAATCCTATTTAAAATAAAATCTAAATTCTAATCTATTAAAGACTATTTTCTAAAAATCATATTAAAATAAAAATAAATCTAAAAAATATTAAATTAAATCTAAGCAAATTCTAATTCTAAATTAATTACAAACTATCTATTTAAAAATCTATTTAAAAACTATTAAAATAAAATCTATTCTAAAGGAAAAATAAATAACTATTCTAATTCTAAAAAAATATAATAAAACAAACTACTTGAATTAAATAAATGATAAAATAAAAAAAATGAACAAAAATTTAATATTTGAATATAAAAATGAGAAAATGAAAATAGAAATAAAATTTACCAAAATACCCTTAGGCCACGTGTCACGCTTCTACTGGGCAAAAAATAGTCAAGATCTGAAAAACGCCCAGTCGGGGTGGACACGTGTCTAAACGGCGTGAAAAATGTGAAATAAAATGCGAAAATATTTACAAAAGCTGGCGGGCAAATTTGGGGTATGACAACAATACTATTTGAACCTCTGAATTTGCTTGAATAAATTGTCCTTCGATTCTTGAATGAGCTTTTCATGTAAACAATGCACTTGAGGTCGATTTTGAACACCTCTGAATTCTCAAACAATCTTTGAAACCGCTTTTCACCATCTTTAAATTCTTCTTAAAAATCAAACTTGCAATGACTGAAAGCCTTGATTGAAATCTTGATAAATGGGACTAAACATGAATTATTCTTGAACCTTGATTGGATTAAAATCTTGAACCACAAATGAATCAACCTTGTCCTAGCCACTTGAATTGTGTTGCACCCAAAACCTCTTGAGCAATATTATGGACCTTCCTTAAAATCATAATCATGTACTGCACAAAACCCTAATTGACAGGAACATATTCCATATGATTCTTCACCAAGACATTTGAACTCAACACAATCTAATAACTTGATCCACACACATATGACTTGAATTGGCACAAAAACCCTAATTGGAACCTCAAACACAAGTCACTTGAATTATGCACTCCTTGGCCTGGACCTTGAAACAAACTTTTGCTTGACCAATGTTAGGTCAGACCCGCTGAACTTCAATCGATACTGTACACACCTGACCTGATAGCCTTGCCTGAAACCCAATCCATCCTTGTAACACTTAGACATAGGCAATAAGAAAAGATGAAAATAGAAGCAACATATTTTTTTTGGATTTTTTTTTAATAATGGTTAGTAGATGGAAACACAAATGAATCCAATATACAGGTAGGACAAATTTTAAGTATAACAGTAGGCAAAGCGAGGACGAACATTGAAGCACTATGCATCCCTACGTCATCTCTCTCCCTTACTCTTGTATTTAATTTTCGGAGGATTTGCATGCTTAGGTATTTCAATTTTAGCGTAGTTTATCATTTATTACGTAAGGTTAGGTTTTGTTATAATCAGTGTCTAATCGAGCTGAATTGGTGATTAAACTCTGAGAAACAATTGAGGTTAGAATTTATTAATATTGAATCATTGTATAAACACACATCTTGGAATATACAACTGAATCAATTGAATACCTTGTGTATCATCATAATACCATTGTTTAAAACCTTCCTCAGACACTTTTGAAAAATCCTTGATATTTTGTTTTTGGAAAACGGCTGAATTTTTTATAAGATCTATTCACCCTCCTTTAAACCGTTTTTCTACATCCGTATTCTCATCCAATAGAATTAAGAACCAACTCAAAGAAACTATGATAAACTTACTAATAATTATTAAGTCGAAAGGTTTAAAACCCCACGACTGATTATCATATTTTAAAATAATAGTACAATGATGATTTCACCACCCATCAAAGATCATAATCCTATCAAATATGCTAATTACGCCACCAATAAAATCATGCGAAGAAAATATGATTAGGAAATTTAAAAATAATATCCCATTTTTCAGTAAAAAACTAAAAGTTTTAACTTTTTCAAAAAAAAAAAAGTTTAATAAATAATTTTGAGTTTTCTTTTTAGAAATTAAAATGAAAATTTTGTTTTAAAATACTAAATAATTTTCTTGACATATAAAAATCGATTAATAAAATATGGGTGAGAATTAAAGCTTTTCAAAGAGGGGAGAAAGTAAGAAGAAAAAAAACTATCTATTTGTTGAGCGCAGAACAGCGTAGTAGTAGTGATGGCTATTTCATCATCATCATCATCACTATCGCTATCTCTTCCATTTCAATTCCGTTTTTCTCTCAAAACCCAAACTCGCCGCAATCTCCCTTGTGTTGCGGCGGCGGCGGCGAACAGCGAGATTCCTCTCCTTCAAGTCAATGATCTAAGAGCAAAAATCGTAGAATCCAATCTCGAAATTCTCAAAGGCGTTAACCTCACCGTCAACAGAGGCGAGGTTCACGCTATCATGGGGAAAAACGGTTCTGGAAAAAGCACTTTCGCTAAGGTTCTTGTTGGTCATCCAGATTATGAAGTTACTGGTGGGAGTGTTGTGTTCAAAGGGGAGAATTTGCTTGAAATGGAACCGGAGGAAAGAGCGCTTGAAGGTCTTTTCATGAGTTTTCAATCTCCGGTTGCTATTCCAGGGGTTTCGAATGATCAATTTCTTGTTATGGCTTATAATGCGAGGAGGAAAAAACTTGGTCTCCCTGAACTTGGACCCCTTGAGGTTCGTTATCCTTTGATTTTATTTACTTATCGTCAAGATTTTGAATCACGGTTGGGCCACCGTGTCTTAGTCCTTAATATTGTGGATAATTGCTTTCAAATGTGATTATGAATACTTAAAATTGATTTTGGTATGTTTGGAGTTACTATGTAGAACTGATTCTTAGATGAAGCTCGGGTTTGTAGCTTCTCCAATTTATTGTTCAACTTTAATCTATGTTTGTATTGATGGACTAGAACTGAGTGGGACTGAATGGATCCTAATGGAATGGAGTGGAACGTAGCGGAATGGCCTAATATAATGGAGTGGAGCCGAACTGAATGAATTAGATACTTCATTCCATTGTGTGGGTATTTTTGTTAATTTGACGGAATGGAACATAGTTAATTAATTCATTCTATTGTATACCCAAATTGGACCGAATGAAAATTTAAGGATTGAATGGAATAGAATGGAATGAATTCCATCATGTTTCATTCTTCATTTTGCTCCATCTATTATTTACAAATCCAAACAACAGAATCTTATTACTTACCACTCTAGTTCATTCCATTCCATCACATACCACTAACCCAAACATACTATCAAATTAATTCTACAAAATTAATTTTTGCCAGTGTAGAATCAAACACATACAACCTTAATCACAGCAGTATAGATATGCAAAGTTTTGATGTCGTGTCTATGATATTAGTTGCGGATAGGTTTTAATTTTAGTTGCCTTTGCCTCACAATCCTTGATATTGTGGAGAATCAGTATTACATAAAGTTTACGCGGCCTTAATTGTAGTCGGGCATTTATCAAAAACTTTGATTTCGCGACTGAATTGCATTTGGGGACTTTTTTCAAAACCCATGATTGTTGCCTTACTTATGGTTTTTAACTGGCTGATTGTGTTTGTGGTTTGCAGTGTTTTTCTTATCTGATGGAGAAGCTACAACTTGTGAACATGAAGCCTGACTTTCTCAATAGGAATGTCAATGAAGGGTTTAGTGGAGGTGAACGAAAGCGAAATGAAATCTTGCAGCTTGCAGTTTTGGGGGCAGATTTGGCTATTTTGGATGAAATTGATTCGGGATTGGATGTTGATGCGCTTAGGGATGTGGCAAGTGCAGTTAATAAAATTCTTTCCCCAGAGAATTCTTTGTTGATGATTACTCACTATCGGCGAATTCTTGATCTTTTGAAACCTTCCCATGTCCATGTTATGGTAAGTTACATACAAACTTGCAACTGATCTTAAATGTTATTCCAAGTTTTGAACTTGAAAAGGATTGTTCATTTTCAAACGTTAGGCGTGGTGAACAAGGATAGTTTTCCTGTCATTAAGTTTTGAGGAAAATAAAGTGGTGGTGCTTAGATTTTAGGAGTTGACACTGCTTTACATTTGTGTGAATGTACTTAGTTCTCGCAAAGGTTTGAGCAGATACTCGTAATTAAATTGAAAAGTAATGTTTTCCCTAGAAGCTTCTATAGTTTGTTGGATACTATTGAAGGCATATACTTGTAGGGGTGGCAAACGGGCATGCCGGTCTCATTTAGGCTTGCCTCGCTAAATTCCGCAAAAACAGGGAAGGGACGGGTCGGCATGCCGGTCCCGTTTAGGCTTGCCTTGCTAAATCCCGCAAAAAAAGGGAAGGGACGGGTCCACAGGCACTACAACTTTTAAGCCTAAAAATGCAAAAAATTATATTAATGTCCACTTCCGCAAAAAACAGGACAGAGCGAGGTGGACACATGAGTCTAAAACTTTGTCCCGCCCTGCCAAAAAGTGCGGGCAAAACGGGCCGGGCCTGTTTTGCCACCCCTATATACTTGCTTCTTATGGGAAGGTTCTTATTCCAAGAAACTTGCTAATATTCTTTTGACATTGTGGTTGTAATCAACATTTTTTAAGTGTCTAAAGATCCATTATACCAAGTGAATTGGAGATAATAAGAAATGTCAACCATAGTATTCAAGTAGGGTGGATGAAAATGATAAATGCTTTATGCATATTAGGAAATTGGATAACGCGTACACTGTAGTTGAGAAGATAATAGAATCTCGTAGATTAGGTGGTTTGCCCATATATGAGAAGACTTGTAAAAGTAAAAGTAAGGAAATAAACATATATCATTGCTGTTAATATCTTTGGGAACAAACATACTAGATGCTCATTTATTAGCCTTCTGGTAGAATATTGTTTATCTATATCTATGAAGTGGTTATAGGGATTTGGATCCTTTCGCGTGTTATTTTAAAATGACCATATTATGTGAATACATCTCAACATGTATTTTTCTAAATGCAGCCATAGCATGATTTGAGATAAACTACTTTCCACTAACTTGCAATTTTAATTCTATACCGTTGTTTTTTTTATCGTGCATGGTTGAGATGCATTCACATGATTTTGTCGTGTTGAAATGACAAGTAACGGAATCACAATCCCTTTATAGACAAAAAAAATTGAATGCAATGTTTATACTGTGAAATGACATGGATGCACCTTTCTTTTTCTTGTTAAATATCAGGACAACGGCAAAATTGCAAGGACAGGCGACCTATCTATGGTAGATGCAATTGAGGCAGATGGATATGAACCGGTCTCTGCTTTAATTTAATACAGCAAGTATTGCCACCCTTTCAAACTTTGTTGTGAAATGGCGGGGCTTATTTTGGTTCAAATTCATTTCCATGCTATCCGATTGCAGGAGTTCCTATGAGTGAGTACTGAGTGTCCCTCTCAAGATCATAATTGGGAATAAACAGTATGATTTGATGGGATGAAAGTCAAAAAATTCTTCAAAGGTACTAATGATAAGATCCTACACATTTTGGGTGGAGGATCATTGCTATATTTTAGTCATTCTAGTTTGGTATTGGGCTATGTTGATGTTAAATAGTTGTAACTTATGAAACTTTCGTCTGCAAGGATGAGTTTAATCAATACCGGAAGTTTAAGTGTATTTGAATTTTGAATAGTGTAGTTGTGTAAACTGAATATAAGTGCAGTTCAACTATTTATTTATCCTAAACACACCAAAGGCCAATAGCAAAGAGATTAGCATTTTCATATGAAGTACCATTTTAAGTCAATAGCTGGTGTCAGTCTCAACAAAGTCTGGAGAGGAAATTTCTAGATTGTATGCAATCTCTAATACAGTGAAGAAAATATTTTTCATGATTTGTGCATGGAGGACATAAATTTGAAGGAACTATGTTACGGTAGTTCAATAAGCACAAGGTGGGAACTGAGTCATGACAGGCTATTAGCCTAGCCTAGCTTAGGCAACTAGTTACCTAGCTTTACATATGCATTATGCATTGATGTATGTCAATATGAATGGATCATCATGCACGTACATGCATAATAGCTTGTCAAAACAGAAGTTTCCACAATATCTTTCCATGAATACCGCCCACGTGTGCATCAGAACACACTAAAAAATCACACTAAAAATATCAAAATAGTCATGCCCTAACGTTCTGGTAGAACATGTCACAACATCATGCAAAACATGATGTCTGACTGTCATGGCAGAACATCTGGTTTAACATCTTGCTAACCGCATGTTATTTTACCAAAATGCAGCCAACCCAAAAATCACAGAACTTACAGAAAAAGAGTCATTGAAGAGATCGCATAAGAGAGTCTTTGAGAAGCTTTATTCAAAGATGTTGAAATGTTTTTTGATATGGTTAATACCATTAAAAGCTCATTTAAAATCCCTTTGCTACAAAAGAAATTATACGTTGCATCTCAGTTGTCTTTTGCTGATTTTTTCTTTAGTCTTCACGTGATCAGAATAAGATAAAAATGTCCTCAAATTCTAATTGTGACCTATCAAAATCTCCTCGGTCCTTGCGTTGACTGAATCTTCAGAGTTTGATTCTCTAGAGGCTGACGCTTTAGAGTCTGAATTATTAGAGTCTGGATCTTTAGATGATGACATCATTTAGATCCTAGATCTTCAGAAGATGACCTCATTCAAAGTCTAAATCTTCAGAGGTTGACATCATTCAGAGTCTGGTTTTCAGCTTTTGATCTTTTAGAATCTAGATCTTTAAATTCTCTTTAAATGTCCATTCTCATAACTAGTACTAAGTTCTCTTTAGAAACTTTTAATCTATGGTGTTGCACACTTGAACATTTATTAGGATACCTTATTGTTCTTTAAATCCTTTGTTATCATCATAATCTTAGAGATATGGTACAAACCAATTTTGTTCTAACATTAATACCAACAATGAGACTTTCATGTTCTTTAACAAGCTCCATATTGTCACCGATATTAGGAGTTTCATATTCTTCAACAAGCTCACTATTGCCACCAACATTAGGACTTTCATGTTCGTCAATAGGCTCAATATTCACTTCTTCATCAACAACATAATTTTCATTTCTAACACCAGTGCATTATACATCATCATAAAAAAAGTTGGTAGCTACATCACTTAGATCCACCATCTCAAGATTGCCTCCACCATCTCAAGATTGCCTACATTGTGATCAATATATACATACATCTTTTAACTTAAGATCTCTCTCTCTCTCTCTCTCTCTCTCTCTCTCTCTCTCTCTCTCTCTCTCTCTCTCTCTCTCTCTCTCTCTCTCTCTCTCTCTCTCTCTCTCTCTCTCTCTCTCAACAAAATTTTGTTACTGAACTAACTTTCTCTTTCTTTTTTATCTTCTTCGTTGAGCCTCCATGGAAGAAGATTCTATTGTTGCACTGACTGTACCGGACGGTGGCATTCGTAAATCATCACCACACACAGTGTTTTCTGCACTTGATTCATCCATTTCACACCAGTTTGGTCAATTCAATCAAATTATAGGAGAACGACTATCTGCTCTGAAATCAGGAGGTTAAAGGTGTGGTCCTCGTTCAAAAAGCTCATAGAGGGATTGTGAATCCTCGCATTCTAATTAAGTTTAAGACGCCTCAAGATTAGCTTAAGGCAAGATTTTTGATGAATATGAAGAGTGGATTGTTCAAGATCAAGCTATTTTCATTTGGCATCTCTCCACGATATCTGAATTTGTTCTTCTTTGTGTTCTCTCATGCAAGCATGTCTTTGATGTTTGGGATAGAATTCACAAGTACTTCAATGTGCACATGAAAGCTCGTGTTCATCAGCTACGCGTTGAATTGAAATCCATCAAGAAAGGTATCAGTCCAGCCACTGAATTTGTGCTAGGTGTTAAAGTTATTGCGAACTTGTTGCTTGTAGTTGGAGGTATCGTTTTTGAATCGGATCAAATTGAGTCCATTCTCAACAGCTTCCCTGAGGAGTTTAATTCGTTTGTTTTGCAAATGTATGGCGCTCATGAGCCTCAATCTCACTATGACGTTGAAGTGATCCATTATGTTCATGAGGTGCAATCTCATTATGATGTTGAAGTGCTCCACTATGTTCATGAGGCGCAACTTGATAGGTTTCGTTAGAAGTTGGCTATTTACTTTGTTTCATCTAATGTTGTGAATGTTAATTGTCAAACAGTTGGCGTGCATGAAAACTCTACTCGTAGTCGATGTCGTGGATGCACATTTTATGTGGTGTGAAAGAGGTTGTTTCTCATATGGATCTCGACCTACTTGTAAGCTTTGTGGAAATATGGCCATGTTGTGATTGATTATTGGCATCGATTTGATGAGACGTTTACACCAACTCAAGCTCAGGCTTTGCCTCAAAATGTTGTCGGTCTGACTTCAGACACTCTCGAGGCTTCAGCATTTGATCTTCAAACCTTGGCCCTAATGTCAACTACACATGAGTACTCATTGCCTCTAGATCTGAAAGTCACGCTTGGTTGGCAAACTCAGGTGCTTCTCACCACCTCAACTCTCATGCTTCTTACTTGCAAGAAAGCTTACTCAGGTGCATGTCGTGTTAGTGTAGCTAATGTCGAATCTCTTCAGATGTGTAAGTTCTACTCATATTTCTTATTCCTTATGTACCTCTACTACATTTGCACTTAATGATATTCTCCTTGTACCGTGTATTACCAGAAATATGGTGTCAGTTTCTAAGTTCTCGTGTGATAACAATGTTGTGTTTGAATTTTTGGTTGATAAGTGTTTCGTCAAATCGCAAGTTTCTATGCTTACGTTGCTTGAAGGTTTTCATGATTCTAGTAAATTGTATTGCTTTCCTTGCTTATTTGTGGCTCCTTCCAGCATGTCTTGTATGTCTCATTCAATTACACGCCAATTTGTAATAATGTTAAGTCAGTGTTATGTTATGTGACATCTGGTGTAAATAAAACGAGATCTGGTCTTCTCTGGCATTTTCGACTAGGCCGTGCCAACTATCCAGCTATTCGACAGGCTCTAAAGCATTGTAATATTCTTTTTTTCAACTAGGGTTTTTTCGACTATGTTGTGTAATTTTTGTTGTATTGGCAAATCTTGTTGATTGTATGCCCCTGCATCTTTAACAATATCATTCTCCTTTTGAATTAGTGCACACAGATCTTTGTGGCCCTACCCCTTTCCCTTCAACTTTTGGGTTTCTTTATATGTTGCTTTTGTCGATGTTTATTCCAAGTACACTTGAATCTATTTTCTTAAAAACAAGTCGGAAACATTCATGCCATTAAATTATTGCACAAGTTTTTTCAAACTCAGCTTCACACTACCATTGAAGTTGTTTAATCTGATTATGGGGGAGAAGTTCGACCCTTCATTAATTATTTAACTGAGTTAGGTGTGTTTCATAGGCTCACATGTCCACATGCGTCTCACCAAAATGGTATATTCGAACGCAAGCACAGAAATTTTGTTGAAATGGGCCCTACCTTGCTATCTCATTCTTCCCTTCCTCTTTATTTTTTGGAACATAGTTTTGCATCTACGGTTCATGTGATTAATCGGTTGCCTACTACTTGCCTTGCTCGTTTTCAGTCCCAGTCTTTGCCTTGTATCTCCAGTATCCTTGTTATGACACTCTTAAAGTGTTTGGTTGCTTTTTTCGATTCACTCGTCTTTACAACAAAGGCAAGTTGGAATTTAGAAGTCATGAGTATGTGTACTTGGGGTTTTCTTTCCAGCATACGGGTTACAAATGTCTAAGTCAGTCCGCTCGAATTTATATTTTCAAAGATGTTGTGTTTCATTGGGACGTATTTCCTTATCCAACGTTGTTTCCCTCTGCTACTTGTGTACCAATTGATCAAAACTATCACACTAAGTCCATTCATTTTCCTTCAATTTTGACTTTGACTAATCCTTTAGTTTCCACTTTGACTTCAACTGATCCTTTTCCTTCATTTTCGACTTAGACAGATTCTTTAGTCCCAAGCGTAACTCATGAGTCAGCTCATAGGCATCGTCATCCCATTATTTGCAAGTTGCTCCTACTACTTCATCATATTTACCTATATCTAGTCCTGGTTACCTTGTGCATTCCTCCTTTCAGTCCTCAGGCCCCTCCTACCATGAGTCCCTTGACTGAGTCAGTGTCCCCCTATTATTCCTTCTTCTTCTCTTCTTTCTCATGTTGAACTTACTTTAGTCAAACAACCTCTCTCCAATTCACATTGGCTCAAGGCAATGAGACTTGAGTATGAAGTTTTGTTAAAGAATTAAACGTGGACACCGACCACTCTTTCACCAAATCGAACACTTGATGCAATTGAATTTTCAAGGTTAAAGAGAACCCCAATGGTTTAGTAAACAAGTACAAAGCTCGACTGGTTGCTAAGGGGTTTCATCAACAGTTTGGTTGCGTTTTCAATGAGACATTCTCTCTAGTTGTTAAACCTGTGACAATTCGAGTTATTCTCATTTTAACTTTTACACACAAATGGGAGCTTCAACAAATTGAATTAACAATGCCTTTTAAATGGGATCATTGATTGAAGATATTTACATGGTTCAACCTCCAGGATTTTATCAGCATAATCCTTCTCTTGTTTGCAAACTGCAGAAGGCATTTTATGGGCTCAAATAAGCACCTCGTGCTTGGTATGAAAAGCTAACTAAAGCCCTAGTTTAGTTTGGGTTTAATCACAACAAATGTGATCATTCTCTTTGCATATATTATCATAAAGTTGTTACTCTTTATGTCTTAGTATACGTTGATGACATTCTGGTCACAGGATTTTCCTTTTTGCTCATGACAAGCTTATAGACTCCCTACATGCTAAGTTTCCTCTCAAGAAGTTGGAATTCCCTAAGTATTTCTTGGGAATTGAGATCAAGTGTTTAGCTTCAGGAAATCTTCTCCTCACTCAATCTAAATATATTTGTGATCTTCTTGCTAAAATCAATAGGAACAATGTCAACGGTGTCCCAATCCCATGCTAAGCACGTGCAAGAAGTGCATCAACCTTCTTGCTTATCAGGGCTTCAATAAGAACAATGTCACTTTGTGCCTATTGCAATTTGGATTTAGCGAGTGATCTCGATGATATTCACTCGAAGAAGCAGCATTTGGTGGCTCGTTCTAGCACGGAGACCAAATATCATGCTCTTACACATACCACATCTGAGTTGCTTTGACTTAAGTCGATTATGCAAGAATTTCATGTGCCATTTCAATTTCCTACCCTGCTTTGTGGTAATCTTAGCGCGGTTTTGTTATCACATAATTTGATTCTTTATGCGCGAACCAAACATATTGAGTTGGACATTCACTTTGTCCGTGAGCATGTTATTTCAAAACTCTTAAAGATCCAACATGTTCCAAATTGTCTCCACTTGCATATCCATTTACCAAGTCGTAGGGACTGGTGCTTTTCAAGAGCTTCGCATCAAGCTCAAATTCGTCGCTCACACCCTCCATGAGCTTGTGGGGGGTATTAGGAGCCTAGTTTAGGCAACTAGTTACATAGCTTTACATATGCTTTGATGTATGTCAATATGATGGATCACCATGCACATACATGCATAATTGTAACTAACTTTTGCATCATCCACCATGCATTCTCTGTAATATATAGGTGGCTATGGATTTGTAAATGGTGAGTGAGAGTGAATGAATAATGTGATAAATACATTCTATCACATGCTAATGATAAGAGAAGTTAGATTTTTTTTTCCTAGGAGTCAGAAAACGCCAAATCCAAGACCAAGAAATTGATAAAAGGGTGGTGAATATTCAATTTGATATGCTAATCAACTCCTGAAGGCCATAAATCCCTACAATCCTCAAACTCTCACCTCACCCAGTTATTGAAAGAAATTTGGAAAGCCCTAGTTCCAAATAAAATCTAAAATTTCTTTTGGCGACTGTCAAAAAAAAAAGTTCTTTCCAATAAAGTTCAGTTGTTGAAAAGAGATGTCTAACTAGATGGGAGTTGTCCCATTTGCCACCAAACTATTGAATCCTTAAGACCACTTATTAGTTTGCTAAAATTGTGTGGTTTTCAGCCCCTTTAGAAGCTCATATCTATTATGATTTGGCATCCACCCAATGAATCCTTAGGGAGCTGGCTTGCAAAGACAAACTGGAAGTCTAAATTTTTTGCATTACTTTGTGGAAATTATGGGCTGTTAAAAATGGTTGTGTTTAACCTGAAGCATCTAACCACAATGATGTTGTTAGAAAAATCAATTTTTGTGTAGATGATTTGAGTGATATGTACTTTGTTAAGCAAAGTAATTCTGCCTAAAACAGTAGAGATGGGATTGATTCTTTTATGCGTTGATACTTGTAGAATCTTTGTTGATGTTGGTTGTTTTTTTGGATGATTATATAGGCTTGAGGTTGGTTGATATTGATTAAACCAACTCAGTAGTACTCTCACCTTGCCGGAAGAAAAAAAAAGGATAGTTACAGACCTTACTTTTGTTGAAGCATTTAGTATTTTGGGTTAGATGGAAATTACAAATAGGAAAACATTTCAACTAGAACACTGTCACCGAAATCTCAAAGGCGGAAGTGGTGGTTAAATGTGTAGACTCAATTAATTGCACTGCAATTGATCATGTCATTTAAGATGGGTAGATTTCATGTTCTTTATTTTAATCATAGTTTAAATTCTGCCGCTCATAGTCTAGTTAATATGTGAAAAGATGTTAGTTATAGAACTTGGTTAGGGCATGTCCCAACTCAGCTTCACAGAAACTGTGGTTCCTTTGTTTTCTGTATGCTAATGAAGAATATTTGGTGTACAAAAAAACAATCCATTCACATTGCTTGCATGACCACAAGCATATGAGAATCAAATCCGCAAAACACAAATCAGCAAAACACTTCAAAGAATTTGTTTTCTCTATTTCCACTTCTTTATCTATGCTTGACCTCCATCTTCCTTTTTCTCTTTCTCTCAATTAACCTCTATCTTCCTTTTTCTCTCACTCAAAGTTCAAAAGCACTTCTTAGTTGGGTTGTGACTGTCATCTCACCCATTTTTGGGTTCTATTTTCTTTTAAAAATCCCAACATCCAATTTATCAAGTGATGGAAAATGAGCTTAAGTCAATCTAACTTTCCAGCATGGAGGTTAGATAATCAGAGAATCAATCCAATGGTGACATTCTAAATAAACATCACATTCCAACAAACAAAAAAGGATAAAAACATGCTCCTGTAAGATTTTTTTAAAGCAAACACCGCTGTTATTTTTCTTTAATAAATGGCCTGAACCCAATAATAGTTAATACAAATTGTTATTCGATCATTGCTACGTTATTCTACAAGATACGATGGCAAAATTGATTTCTCAAATGAGAGGACCACAAACAACTATAAAGAACCACAAGTGGCCTTGTGTACAAACAAGGTGGGGGTTACGCAGCAAAAACTCAACTTACCCGGTATTGTTCTAAACCTAACTGTACATCGGATTGGATCAACACGATTGCCTATATACAGGAATAAAGGGAAACCAAAGTTTTAAAAAATATACTATTATGCCTAGACGTGCACATTTTTGCCTTTATCAAATTGTGGTCATTGAAAATACAGAGAACTAATTGAAGCCAAAACACATCTCTGATCAAGATTAAACAATTGGGGCGTCAAGGAGTGGAACAGGTGGTTCCTTTCAAATTGCGATTCCAATAACATGAATGTATTTTCACTTGTATAAATGTAAGTAGACCTATCACTACGAACCACGCTTACCTGAAAAAAGATATCAGCATTTTTCAATAAAATTTAAGCATCTGCGACAAAAAATAGCATAATTAAAACTCTTCATCCTCACTCTATTGAGGACATATTCCTTCCTAACAACATAATTTATTTGGTATACTACCAAATTTGAGCCTATCAATTTACCCATATTCCTATTTATAAAACAAAACAAAACAAAAAAATCCTGAGAATTTGGTAGACCTCTTATGAATAAAGGTTTTTGGTGAATATGTGAAGTCCCATTTGCTGTTGTAGTCTTAAAAGAGGAGGTTTCATCTTTTATAGTTTAACATGTCACAAACAGAGCAGACATCAATATCTACAGAACGAGAAAAAGGAAAATGATATGGGCAGAGAACCCTAAAACAATTATCAGAAGATCATTTATCCTTAACTTTCAAGTAGACGGCTGCATTTATCTCATGCGACAAGACTTGTGATTATTTATAATATAGAAAGCCTTTAGCGCTTACCAATTCCCTGTTTCTTCTGAGTCTGAACTCTGTCCAAGTAAGGATCAATTATGGCATCTAACTTCACCAACCACAGAGCAAGAGCAGATGAAGTATGGGGCATTGATGCAAAAGATGTAATAGTTTCTTCAACCACACCGTCTGGAAATTTGCACTGAAATAACCAGCCCTTATTGATGGCACCAACAAAATCAGCAAGAACCTATAAAAATAACAAATTCAACAAAAAAAATAGATGAAGTTAAAAGCAAAAAAATAAAATCAGATTCTATAGGGAATTCGAACAAACATTTAGTTAAACAATAAACCTGCAAAAGCTCCACTAAAGTCGAGGTGCGTCTAAGTCTTTTGATCCATAGATTATGAGCAGACTTCCTCCAAGCACCAACCAAGGCGTCTTCAGGCATAACAGACTGCAGTGTAGGAGTATGCTTAAAAACAAATGTACACTGCTATACTTTTCAATACATAATTTAAATAAATTGGAAAAGCAAATCGAAAGACAGAGATACAGGGTAACAAGTTAGGCACCAATGCAGTATCATGCTTATCTTGCATCAGAAGAAAAATATAACTATACAAGTGACAAACATCTTTCATATTTTGGAAAATAGGAAAGACTGCCCTGAACAAATAAAACCAGGTTGCAGGAAGAATTAAGTGTCAATTTTCCCATACAAACCAGAGTAGTAAATCCCGGATAGCGGCACGGAGCAACCGGCCCAAAAGTGGGTTAGTGGGATAGCGTATATAGCATATAGCGGGATGACCGCTATCTGATTTTTTTGGACAAATTACATATAATAGTTATAAACATATATTAATGTAAATTTAATAAATAACTTAAGAACCATTAAAATATTCATAAATAAAATAAAGATACGATGGAGAGGGAGGAGACAATGGTTGAAAGGGAAGAACAACGGAAGAAGGAAGAATGAAGTGCAGAGAGAGATGAGGGAGGAGTCACAACTCAAATTTGATTGAAAACCCCAAAATTAACCTTACACCTTTTTAAATTTACGGGGTAATTTCGGTTTTTCAGAGGGGAAGAGGATAGCAGGCCAGGAACTGCTCCGGGCGGGAACTGGTCTGCTCCGTATCCCGCCATTTATCCCTATAGTGGCCGCTATAGTGTTCAGCACTGCTAAGGATCTTCCCATGGCGGTCAGCCTCCGCTACACTACCCCGCAATAGCGCCGCTATTGGCTGCTATTGCTACTCCGATACAAACAACTATCAATTTAAGCCTATTCTTTCTTTCTACCCTAGATTGAATTGATTGTATATTATAAAATAAGACATCAATGCTGCTAGCATGAGTAAATGATGAAAATTGATGCAGATGAATAGCAACACACCTCAATTGCATAAATTGCAGCTTTCAATGATTGGATCTGTGATAACAAGACTTTATGATTTGGAAATGTACTGCTGTCTTCTTTCTCCCTGCACATTGCTATGTGGATTGCATATTTTTCTTCGAGGTCAAAATCAAGCTCAAATGTCATATGACAAATTTTACAGTGCCTCTCATCTCTCCAGTATAGGTCATGGCAACTCCTACATCTAGCGAGAGAATCAAGATAAGACCTTTTGCCGTATTTTACAACGTTGAGATCTAAATAAAAGGAATTCCAAATCCAAGAATCAAATTCTTGAATGCGAATCCATTTTTGTCGTTGTTCCTCTGCTTTCTTCCCAGCTTCAATTACCACAGCACCAGGTGACGGCAAAGAGTCTCTAGCAGTCTCAGTCAGATTCAGATTGTCTACATCAGATACTGGAGAACAGCTGTCTTCTGTAACCCTATCCAGCTCGGACTGGTCAGAATGTGACATACACCCCATTCCAATATTGTTAACCTTAACCCTGCACATAGATCTACGTAAAGATGTTTGTCGTCTCTCCAAAGATTCAATAAGAAGAGCCTCACGTTTTCCTCTATCATCCAGAACTGACAACAAGGCACACAATGCCTGCACACAGGTTATAACCATATTCGACTTATCAGAACTAAAAGAACAAGCCATACAACAATCACGTTAGAACTATAATATGTGTATGTTTAATTGTTTATTGTTCCATGTTTCCCATGTAAATAACAGAAATATCTATAATAAACCAGAAAATAATTTAAATCTACACTTGATAAGGAAACCTAAGAAAATCACCTCTTCTGTATCAATCACCTCCCAGTGTCCATCTTCAGAAGATTCAAAGTAAACCCTCCTGTGTCCAGGATCACTGGCATTACAAGGGCCCAAGAAAAGCCAGTATCTATTGTATCTACGATCAGATCCCAGAAACACTGATTGTATGGGGTGTGAATTAGCTGAACCTTTTCTTTTCTCAAAGGACGCTTCCTGCATATGGAATTTTGAGGCTAATAACGAGGAATCTACTGAACCAGAGTGAGAACTCAAGTGCACCTCTTTAATACATTGTATTTGTTCAATTGGGTTCAACAATGAACCTGGCTTCTTTACTATTGATCTCTTAATTTTTGCTCCAGAACCATGTAATTGGATACTTGAACTATAATCAGCTATAACATTTACTGGATCCTGTAAAAAAAGTTATTCAGAACTTAATAGGTTAAGAGAAGTTCACAAAACTTCGGTTATGTAACTTTTAGGAGTTGGGAGGAGAGATAATTCAAGCCCAAGACATAACTTTGCTGAATTGTTAGTGGCTTACCCTCACCGTGATGCTGGATCCAGATGAAAGAAGACCGGTCAATGCTGCCAATGCATTCAATTTTTCTTCAATTTTCAAATCTGAGTACTCACTATCCATCAGTCCTAACAACCACACTTCTCCTGTGTGGCTCTCATCAATTTCAGTGTAAACTTTTAGCCTATTATGTTTAACTTTACTACTGTTATCACGCTTAAATTTTCTTTTATTAGGGTTTACTGAATTGATTTCAAAATCATCTCCGCTGCTACATGTGTCAGATTCACTAAGCTCATCATCAACACTGCCAGAGTCCTCTGCATCTGACTGACAATCATCAGTGTCCTTTGTAATAGTACTCATACGCAATCGATATGCAGACGATGAAATCTTTTCAAATAAAGTAATATCACTTGAGAGTGTGGAATATATTAAAGACTCTAGTTCCTCCGTTGTGCTGCCAAGGTTTAATTCCGCAATCTACATAGATTCAAAATCATTTTTAGTTCATCAATATAAAGACAAATAGTAATGTCCAACGAAACAAAATAGTTAGTTACCTGCAAAGACTTTTTCAGCTCAGAAATTTTGCATCCATTTTTACCTTGTTCTGACAAGATTTTAAACAACTCACACTTCAAGGTGCCAGGGCATAGGCCATAGTTTACAAAAATATCCAATTCCTATTTTAAATAAAAAAACACGAGTATGCCTCAAAATCCAAAGCCAATTGAGTTTGAAAGTGGAAACATAAGAAAACAAACAATAAACAAAGCTCACTAGCATCTTCAGACATTTAAGATTAAATTTCGCACACTAGTAGAAAATGGTGACTGCTCATTCTCATTCCCACTAACTACCACAGCAGAATAGATGGCTGCAAATATGTGACAGCTTTTTTTATCTCCTATTTAAACTAGCTCACATACAGCAGACCACCACAAAACACAAATTATTAACAGTTTTATTAAACATGCGATAATGAATGTTTCATTGATGAGGAACTTTGAACACTGTCCATGTATCAGAATATCATTGAGAATGTTGAAAGGCACATATATGAAATGTTAAAAAAAAATGATATAAATACTTGAGCTGGTTATATTGCAATATAAAAAATTAAGCAAAATGCTCAACAACTTTTTGTCAACTGTTTTGTAGTTCAAGGCCAGAATCTATTGAACTTGACCGCATCGTAGAATCTATTGAACTTGACTGCATCGTAGAATCTATTGAACTTGACCGCATCGTGGAAGAGGTTATTGAAATTACTATTATGGAGAGATAGTAAATCATAGAAGAGAATGCTTCTGAGGAAATTAAACTTTCTTCTAAACTAAAGAGACATATCTCACTTCTTTGAAAGGGAAAAAATATGGACAGCAGGGAGACAAACGTTCTGAATATTGCAGATTGGAATCAAATTTTTTGATGACTAATCATATAATACATATAGCTTTTAGTAACATGAAATATAAGGTACAAAATAATACTTTCACAAAAGAAATCTGCTAAAGTACATTACAGACAAGATAATAGATGTGTTGTTCTATCAAGAACATGACATTAGGAAGCTTTTGCAAAAAAAGTAATAATAATAATAACATCAACAACAACAACAATATTAATAATAAGCCTCTAGAGTGTTCGATCTTATGTAAATACAGCTAACATATTCAACTCTAGACATATATAAAATAGACATGTTTGAAGTACCTTGCCAAGGACTCCTCTTCGTAAGGCACCTTGCTTGGAACCGAATCCAGCCGCTACCAGCACTTGGCGCAGTATTTCAATCCAAGTAAGAGGGTTTAGTGATCTTTTCCAAACGTTGAGGGAATATTCTTGACTTTCAACCTTTCAAATATACAATGTCAGATAGTTAATCATTTTGCATAAAAGTTGTAGACAAAAATGCAAAATCTAAATTTCTGCTAATGAGGCGAGGAAACTCACTGAGTGAAGCAACGCAAGAAAGTTGCATGACTTATTTAAATGAGGACAAAACCCATTAGAAAGCTCTACTTCAATGTCAGATAGAAGCCTTGTGAGAAGGGCCACGTGAATCTTTCCGAGTAACATTGAGTCCTGAAAGGCCCATGCAGTAACCAGTTGGGTGAGAGGCATTTGGGATGTTATTTACAATTTGATATGACTCTAGTAAGAGCTAAATAAGAAACTATGCTACCAAGGTGTAAACCTACCTTATCATGAAATGCCTGAACAAACTCATCAAGAGTGAAGGGACAAACATCAACAACTACAGCATATGTATATATGAAATGGAACACCTGCCAAAATAGAATTAGTTATGTCAAATTTAAGTATTTTCCTATTGAAGAATGTTCCAAGAGAATATAAAAGGATGCAAGATAGAAACTTCAGTAAAGTAAAGCTTGGCAGTGATAAAGCATGCTAATCTAAGAAAAGTAACGCATGCTAATCTAGGAAAAGTAAAGCATGGCAGTGATAAAGCAAGCTAGCCTAAGAAAAAACATACTGCCTTATAAGACAAATCCTACAGGGTAACTAATAAAATCCAACCACAGGTAGTAGTTCATACAAGTCAAATTATCAAAACAAACACCTACATGAGTTTGTCCAACAATAAGCTAGAATCATGAAGAACTTCCTTTATACTCTAACTATTATAATCATTCTAATCCTATGTTCTAATTCTAACAAAGATACATGCATTCAAAACTCAGATCTTTTAAGTCACAACTGATTGATAATAAGCACCTTAAATAATTTCTTCACCAGTTCTGGAGATGAGTCCCAAGGTTGCAAATGTATAGGTTTCTTCATCTTGACAGCACCTGGGGGAAACTTGACTAGCACATCTATCAGAGTCGCAAGCAATCAGTAACTAGTAATAGTCAGAACTCGGAACATTCCAACAACCATTAGAACATAACACATAATACTAGGCAATACATGTTCTCTCCAAAATTACCTGGACAAAGTGAGTCACCGAGCATTCCATAGGCTGCAAGTTCATTTGAACAAACAAGCAGATTGGTTCCTTCTTGCAACTCTCTCCGCTCTAACTCTTCATCATCAATTAACATTGAAATTTGATCAACTCCCTCCTCAGATATTGAGTTGTCTAAAGCAAGCTCACAATTTTCTATGGGTGGCTGGTTCTGAGTCACATACTGGTTTGATTCACCCTGCCAGATAGGAAATAATTGTAAACTTGCTAAACCATTCAATGTCACAGGAAAAACGCACGTTTAAATTTTTAATTACCTCTCTTGTTTGCACAAAATGTTTCCTCTTCCCCTGGAATGTAGGTTTCCTATTAGGCAATTTATTTCTTGGCTTTCCCTATTCAGGGGGGAAACATCAGGATCTACTATTATTAAACAAAATCTATACACTCATAAATGTATTATAGGAGGAAGCAGAGAGAAAACAGTATCACGGGTTTAGATAACTTACATTCACAGTTACTGCTTTCTGAGACCTGTTGATTGATATTGGTGTTTCTCGGTCAGAAAAACCAAAACCGACTGGAAGGTCTTCAGTATCATGATTTGTTGCCCTCCAAACTGTCATCAGACCTTTGCCCATACCATGTTTCTTCACAGGTGCTTTCATATTACAGTTAGGGTGATTTTGAAGTGCACTATAGGAAGCCTGGGAAAAGAAGGGCTGATACAAATGTAATGGGTTACAAAAGGAAACGTCAATGAAATTCTCCGGATATCAAAAGTTACCTTCCTCCTTTTTACAGACTCGTGGTCCTGTTGACAAGCATGGGTGTAATTTTTGGGTCCTAACCAAAGACAAAATTGACAAAATAAGATTAGTTATAAATACTAAAACAGATGGCGGCAACAGAAAATTAAAGGTATACTAAGAAGAGTCATAAAAAAAGTAAAACTTAATTTACATTTGCTGGGGTGCAGTACAAAGAGTAGAAAGGAAGGAAGGGAAGTGAAACAAAAATTCCACTTCCACCATACGATTTTCCAAAAGTTAGATGACATATGTAAAGCCTAGCTCCATATATTTTTCTATAAACATTATGCATACGTACGATGCAGGACTAATGAGCTATGTAGCACCGACACCTCTAAAAAAAGGTGTGTACGTGTCAATGCCAGTGTCTGAAACTGACACCGACACTAGTGATTACGTTTAACTCATTCATTTTTTCAAATTATCGGTGTGGGCGTATCGGTGTTGTAATTTTGGTGCCCGTGCTTCATAGATAATGAGTAATAAAATAATTCCAACCCCCCCCCCCCCCCCATCTTTGCCTCGTTCAAAAAAGGGGATAAAGTTCATTGTGAAATAGACGGTAGTTCATCTAATGCAAAACTTAGATAAGAGATACAGTCCATCTACACCCAAATGTTCTCACAAAGACTGTTCACTACATTATTGTTATTCTACTCTATTTAAACTGTAAATGAGTAAAACAATACATAATGGATTTGTAAGATATTTCACATGGAAATTAAGACAATCCTCCCAAGTTTTAGGAATCCACACAAATTTCGTAATTGACTTTTTATAGGCTGTGTTGTTTGGCAAACAAGAATGTAGCACCGACACCTTTGAGAAAAGGTGTGTCAGCGTCAGTGTCCAAAACCGACACCGACATTTGTGATTACGTTTGATTTATTCATTTTTCAAATTATTGCCAGTGTCGGTCGTGTTTCCAGTATACGTGCTTCATAGAGAATAACGGTGGAGGCGAGTAACATTGAGACACGTTGAGACTGGATGAGTTGTTTGCACTTTGCATAGGTTTTCTAAAAACCCCAACTAAGGTCAAGTATAAACTATACAAATTAAAATTAACTAATTAATTCAATACTACAAACTAAATACCACAGTTTAAAATTTACCAAACAGAAAACAAGCTATTTCATTGATCTAGGTTTTTTCAAAACAAAAAAAAAATTCAAACCCTATCTCATTTCATTAGTTTAGCAAAACAACCATGCATTACATGTGTAGCAATAATGTATCTAAACAAATTGACTAATTAAATTTTAATAAAATAAAACAAAATATTCACAGTATCCACCTCCGATCTCCACTCCCCAGTCACCAGTCACCAGTCACCAGTCACCAGTCACCAGTCACCAGTCACCAGTCACCAGTCACCAGTCACCAGTCACCAGTCACCAGTCACCAGTCACCAGTCACCAGTCACCAGTCACCAGTCACCAGTCACCAGTCACCAGTCACCACCGACCACCCCAAAAACAGTACCACTTAATTCATACCAAAAATTACTAACAAATATCATAATCACAATAGTTATAATTTTTGTATTAAGAGTTATAACAGAGAAACACACCTGAAGGAAGAGAATCAAATTCCCGTCCAAGAAGAGGACCATCATTCAGCAACACGCTGTTCACAGTTCGACCTGTTGTTAACGATTCTTGAAGATATTCACATTTCCGCTTTTTCTTACCATCTCCAGTATCCACCATGTCATATCTTGAAGAAGGCAGAGCATCAACTTTCTCTATTCGATGTAATTTTCCATACAGTGGCACAATCGGTCCCTTTCCTCTCATCTCTAACCTCGCAGCGCTATGTGCCTCTCATCTGCATCAAAAAATATAGTAAATAACGAGAATCATAAAATTCAGCAGAGTTCAGAGTAGACACTGAAATGAATAATCGGAAATGGAACTGCGCGAATTGAATTGAATTGATATGGTGATTTAGCGTCGAGATTCTTTGAAATTCGGTTATGGTGATAGTTGAGTGAAGTGGCGGTTGATAGATGCCGAAAAATTGAAAGAGTGCATAGAGAAGAGATTAGGAAATACGAGAGAAATGAGAAATCTACCATGGTTGTTAATTGTTCTGTAGAATCAGTTCAGAAATGAGAGATTAGAGTGTGAGTTGAAGAAGAAAGACGCAGGGAAATGGGGGATAATATGAATCACTGTAAGAAGCAGAAGTAGGGTTTTGGGTTTTACGGAAAACAAAGAAATATCTCTCTCTCTCTCCTATGATTTTACCAAATAACCCCCAAACTGACAAACCCTCAACTGCTAGACAATTCGTCATTCGTCGTTTCGAGTTGCTGTTTACACCCCTGTTATTTCCTAGAAGTATTAAGCATTTGATTTTTTTTAATTTAAAGTAGATTTTGTCGATTTAGTGCCTAAAATCGGAGTTGGATTGACTATTTCATTTCTAGTCGTCATTAAAAAAATAAATGCTTACATAGTCGGTTGGTTAGTGAGTTTTAATTTTGTTCTCTAAATTTTTTTTATCTAAGATTTTAAATTTCACCTTTTAAATACGTTTTAGTTTTTAAAATCAAATTTCAAAATTTAACTTTAGAACTAAAACGCACGCAAATAGTGAGACAAAGAAATTCAGATCAAAAAATAATAATTACAGGGATCAAAATCAAAAATTCGCTAATTTACATGAATTAAAAGTGTATTTAAACCAAAAATAAAATATAATTCAGAGAGAGAATGAAAGTTAGCTATAATTTGTTGTTATGACGTGAATGGATTCACGACATAAGAGCTGTATTATCATCAATGCATCAGAGAATTACCATCTGGCGAACAGATGATATTATGGAAAATATTGAAGTCGGTCAAAGCTATTTCACGGCTTCAGTCAATTATGTCGGTAGGCACGTTTTCGACAAACATTTGGCTAATATTGCTCCATACAATCCAACCAGTTTCGTGTTTACTCCAGATGATAATGCGTATTGCTCTTTGTATTTACATCCCACTAATGATTTTCAGTGGGACCAAGAGGTTGTGGGCGGAGACGACCTTGCATACATAGGGACATCTGGAATCAACCCAACAGGTTAGGGGAACGAGTTTGGCGACAATGACTGAGTTGCCAGTGCTCGAAAGAATTGCGGCTTATATAGCCGAAAATAAATTTAAAACGGCCTTGGAGGGCGAAGTAAAATCCATGGTTGTTGAAGCCAAGAAGGAATCATATCAAGAAAGTCTTGGTAAGGACTTCGACCCAAAACCAACTGATAAAGTTCGGGATAAAGTGCAAGGTCAGGGGCTCGACGCCATTTATGATGACGAGTCTTTGGGATTCGAGAAAGATTCGTTGGCAACCAACATCAAAATGCTAGCGCAAGATCCACTTGAAGAGATCGACTTGGGGAACGGGGACACGAGAAGGTTAACTTATATTAGTTCCAATATTAACTCTCAACTCAAAGTCGAAGTGATCTAATTGTTAAAGGAGTTCAAAGACTGGTTTGCATGGGATTATGACGAGATGCCTGGTTTGGACAGAGAGTTGGTCGAATTAAAATTGCCAATAAAGCATGGGAAGAAGCCCATCAAGCAGAATTCAAGGCGGTTTGCACTTGATATTCTCTCAAATATTAAAGAAGAGGTCGAAAGACTTCTGCGTTGCAAATTCATCCGTACGACCAGGTATGTCGAATGACTTTCAAATATTGTGTCAGTTATTTAAAAAAATGGTGCTTTGAGGGTTTGTATAGATTTTAGAGATTTAAACAATGCAACCCCAGAGGATGAGTATTCGATGCCTGTGGCGGAAATGCTAATTGACTATGTCGTAGGACACGAATATCTTAATATGCTCGATGAGTACTCAGGATATAATCAGATATTTATTGTTGAGGAAGATGTTTCAAAAACAGTGTTTCGATGTCCTAAGGCATCAGGCACTTATGAATGAATGGTAATGTCTCTTTCCTCAAGACCATTAGAGTTACTTCATATTGATCTGTTTGGACCAGTGAAAACTGCATCCATCAGAGGCAAGAAGTATGGATTAGTCATTGTTGATGACTACAGCAGATGGACATGGGTGAAATTCCTAAAACACAAGGATGAGTCACATTTTGTGTTCTTTGACTTCTGCAAACAAGTCCAGAATAAAAAAGATTTTAAAATTGTTAAAGTCAGAAGTGATCATGGTGGCGAATTTGAAAACAAATATTTTGAAAAATATTTTAATGAAAATGGCATTGCTCGTGATTTCTCCTGCCCTAGAACTTCACAACAGAATGGAGTTGTAGAGAGGAAAAATAGAACATTGCAAGAAATGGCCAGAACCATGATCAACGAGACTAATCTGACAAAGCATTTTTGGGCAGAAACAATAAACACAACTTGCTATATTCAGAACAGAATGTCTGTAAGACCTCTTCTAGAGAAGACTCCCTATGAATTGTGGAGGAATAGAAAGCTCAACATTGCTTATTTTCATCCTTTTGGATGTATATGTTATATGTTGAACACTAAAGAGAATCTAAACAAGTTTGATTCTAAAGCACAAAAGTGTTTCATGCTTGGCTATTCTGAACGCTCTAAAGGCTACAGAGTATACAACACTGAGACACAGATTGTGGAGTAATCTATACATGTTAGATTTGATGATAAGCTTGGTAATTAAAAGCCAAAGCAGCTTGATATTTCTGCAGATAGAGAAGTAATTCTCACAGACTCTGAAGACTCAGAGGCAAATAAGGCTCAAGTGAAGGAATCAGAAGCAACGCCAGATACAACTCACTTGGCTGCTCAGATGAACAATTTGAATATTTCTGAAGAACCTAATGTTAGAGGATCATCTTCTAGAATCAAAGCCTCTCACCCAGAGGATATGATCATTGGAAAGAAGAATGATCCTATCAGAACAAGATCTTTCATCAGATCATCTGGGACATCCTTATTTGGTCTAGTATCAGTGATTGAACCAACTTCTGTGGAAGAAGCTCTAGAAGACAATGATTGGATTCTTGCAATGCAAGAGGAGCTAAATCGATTCACAAGGAATGAAGTTTGGTATCTGATGACGAGAAAACGCATCGGTTATATCGCTAGATTTCATTGACTTTTACCGCGCATTCACCGTTTTAACGCTCGATTCCTCGAGTTTTTCTTACTATTTTGCAGGTACATCGATATGTGAGGCCAAATCAAGAATTAAGAAGAAAAGAACAAAGAAACCACAAGAAATGAAGCAAGACAGAAGCCTGCATAAACTCTGCATAATTTGTTACGACCACGGTCGTTACAAGGGTGTCACGACCGTGACACCTTACTTTGGGCCATCACGACCGTGAGGAAGTAGTCACGACCGTGACACTTGAAAAACGTCAAACAACGAGCGTGAAGACCTTGTCACGCCCGTGACAAGGATATAACTTGAATTTTGACTCAGACTACGTCAAGCCACCAGTGAAGACCACTCCTCCTAGAAATTCTCCTCAAGGCAACACGTGAGGGAGACTTCTCCCACTTTCTGCTGCCACTTTCCAACATTTTCTCAACCACTTCAGCAAAGCCCAAGAAGCAAAAGACCCAGGACCAGCCCATTGGAAGCTCTATAAATAGGACCAGCTCAGGAGGATTCAGGGACAGACTTCAGTATCCAAATTTCCTGCGGAAGCTCTGCCGAATTACCTTACCATCAGAATTATTAATTCCAACATTTTATTTTCTGCCTTATTTTATTTGTATCCAAACCAACCGTGTAACAATTTCCAACATTAGGGAATTGTTATACTTTTATTTGTTTCCAGCCTTCAGCATTCGTTTTAATTTTTATTTTCCGCCTACTCCAAGCCTTCCGGTCTGTGGAAGAAGGAGTCTACTCAGATATTTGTTAATCAGGTTTTTCAGTTATTGCAATTTAATTTATTTATAATGTCTATTTATTTTTCTGCCATTAGTAAGCTAATAATTAACTCTGAGTCTGATTTAACCTCGATGAGTAGCTAAATACCTTAGGGCGGTATGTAGTTATAACTAACTTAACCGGTAAAATATAACCATGGGCTAAAATAATTAATCGCTTAACATTCTGGCTGATACTTTTTAATTAAATTCGACCTTTTCGTTACGAGAGTAAGAAAAGGGTATTAGGTTGGGTCAAGACCACGAGAGTGTGAGATTTTAACCAGATAGCTAAAGTTAGGCATTTAAATTAAATACAGCGAGAGCGCTTTAAGATAAATTAGAATTATTTAGTTTCCAAAAATTATCTCTAAACACTTATGGGCTAGCGAGAGCAGGCATAGGGCTTTAGGGATAAGATCTGATTCAAGACCACGAGAGTGTGAGTTGAGGGTATTCAAACTAGTAATCTCTACCGAATAGATTAAGTGAACATCTTTATAAGCCTAGGTTAGATTGACCCACCTAAGTTAGTATAATTACATACCGACCGTCTTAGTATTATTTTATTAAAAACTTAAATTTAATTTCGCCTTCAATAGTCTTAGAAAACCAACAACAATCGTGACAACTATTCGCCTTAGCTAAACTAGAAGCTCATCTAGCACTAAGTAACGATAGAATCCCTGTGGATCGATAATCTTAAATATTACTTCGATAGGCTGTGCACTTGCAGTAAGATACCGCTAGACGCATAAGTAGACACGTCTCTAGCCCATCAAGTTTTTGGCGCCGTTGCCGGGGATTCCTTAATTTAGTTACTAGTGCACTTAGGTAGCATTGTCTAGACTAAGGTATCAACTATTTAATTTAATCTAATCTCCGAGTGTATGCCACGTACTCGCTCCAAAAGCGAAGAC